CGTATGCCCTCTTCAACGCTAGTTCTCTCTCCGCAGTCCAGTCACGCCGCGTATGGACCTGCGGCGAGTGATTAGATAGTCGGTGGGCGTACCCGCCAACCGCGCCAAGAGTGAGCCATGCTAGATCGCCGAGGTCAAATCTTTCGCTGCCAATTGCGTGTCAGTCCGCACCCTCAGAGGTCCGCCTGTCTCCCCACTAGGCAATTTCCCTTCTTCGACCTTCGTTCTTATCGTGGCGTCCTTAAACAACAAAACGTTTTTCCATTCGGCCCATGTTCTGTTTTATTTTTTATCTTCCTTTGGAGTACTTACTTGCACTTATTCCATTATTTCTGGGCGCTCTTGGATGCGTGTTCGGCAGAAGCAGTGAGTTATGGGGCTTTTCGATGTGCTTTTTCACTTCAAGGCTCTCAACCAAATCTCCCATTAGCTGATCTTATACAAAGGGTTGGGTAACCGTGTACGACTCGTTCAGGGGTCAAACTACCGACTGCAGTAGCCCATTACTTTCTTTTTTGTTTCAACATATCACGTTGTTCATGACATTAGTGTTTGAATTATTTTGTATCTGGAATATCTTTTCAGTATTTTGTTCGAATCCATCCAATTCCTCCCACCCTTCCTACCAGAGTCGAGGTCCCCTCTTGAACAAAATTTTTACTTATTTGATTAATTGAATGGATCCTCAAGTGCAACTTTATTGTCATTTGAATTCATTCATTCGGCGGAAATAGCTCTTCAGTTTTTTTTCTTTTTCAGCATTCATAAGGCTCTCCTTCCGTTGGCAAAACGTTTCTGCCTTTGTCGAAATATTAAGGGTTTATTAGCTACAATTACCTCCCAATATATTTCATTAGTTAGTGCTAAATGAACTCAATATTAAGATCTTTTGGCGGGAGTTGTGCAACGGGTCAACATTACTGTTGAAGCTGGCTCGATGTTAGACGCGTCGAAGGTTGAAGTGCGTTCCGATCCGGCAGATGGGATTGAGTTTCTGGTAAGTATAGATAAAACTGCTTTTTTATTCCTAACTGATGCAGTAGTTGAAAGTGAAAAGCAAATGTTTTGTGATCTGAGTGATATCATTCTATTTGGCTGTCAAAGACAATGTGTAGATATAACTAAGCTAACTACGAGCAGAACTCCAGCAGATAAAATCCAGTGAAACTCAAACAGAAGAGCTAAACTATACAAAGCTGTGAGAGAACTCGAGAAGCTAGGAAGGGGAGAATGGGAGAGTTCAAGAGAAAGACGAAAATGATCATTCCGTGTATACTAAAGTTGTATTTCCTTAAGGTTTTGAGTATTCTTTCTGAATTTCTAAACGAGCTAAGGCATTTCTTTTCGTTTTCACGGCGTTGACGAAATCCTTAGATAGTCGTTACTGACCTGAAAATGTGATCGTACACAAAAGTGACCTGATTTCGTGTCCTCTCTCAGTCAGCCTCATTTTCTTTGATTTCGTTGTTATTTGTTCAAATACTTTGGTAGCTAGCCGGAGTATCGTATGAGATAGTTATTGCTATCATCTTTATCATTGATATT